TCTCTCTCTCTCTCTCTCTCTCTCTCTCTCTCTCTCTCTCTCTCTCTCTTTCTCCTTTACTTTTTGTTTTGACACAAGATATCAGTAAGATATTTAGGCAGGTCTGAGCTTACTCAATACTATCATGCAGACAGGTGTTGACCTTGAAGTATTCCTGCCTCAGTTTCATGAGTAACTAAAATTATAGATCAGGATTATTTTGGTTTTCTTCTTACCTTAAAGAATAAAAGCTTTTCTGCCAAACATTTTGAGTTTGATGCCTCAAATAGAATATTGTCATCTCAACTAATGGGTTGTTCTTGCTGTTTCTGTTTATTGTTGATCTATAGGTCCAAGCAATTCTGAGAAGAAATTGGAACCAGTATAAAATACAATTTGGAAATGGCTTTTCCCACTCTGATGCTCTCCGAAGTGCATCCTACACAGTGTCAACAATCAGTGACATGCAAGGGTACAGCCATGACTGCCCCACTGAACACTTAAATGGAAAAAGCATTCAGGATATTGAAAGTGTTGCCTTAAAACCAGAAAAAATGTATGATCTAGTGATGTGAAAATACAGAAATCACACCTGTTTTGTGTCACTTGAACCCATGATTTTATAGCCAGAAGATTGGATAGCCAGCAGATGGATTTTTTGAATATCATGAAGAAAGCCCTCAAGTGAAATGGGAATTGTGTGGATAAATGTTTAACAACCCTCTCTCTATGCGGGAGAAAAGCCTCAATTTATATTGCTGGGCAGTAAATACTCCTAGTATAGCTGATTTAAACTTACCAACCTGACATCACTGAATGTGGAATTGGAAAGAAAAGAAGCACAATCAACTCTTGGGAGTTGACATGCTCTGGAACATGCACAACACTGCATGCTCTCACAGACGGATACCTGTGCACACTCACGCCCACACTGACCAGAACTCTGCTCTTCTCCTCTGAGGAGACCTCGCTCAGTCTTATAGACATGAAAGGAAAGTTTGGTTTTTGTTTTAAAACTCCTCGTCCTTTTCTCATTTGGTGGTAGTGAATAGTTTGTCCAGAAACACTTTAACCCTCTTTATATCTTCTCCTGTAGACTAGACAAAGAGTTCATTATCTCTGTCATCTCATGTTCCTTTCTTTAAGAGAAGCAACTGAGCAGAATTCCCATGGGCTTCTCAGTTGCTGCTATATGTTGTTGTATTCTGTGGCATATTCTTTCTGAATCACTAGGGAGGCATATTGGTAGAAGCTACAAACATTTTGCCAACTGCTTTTTTCTCTCTCTTTCTCTAAATCTTACTTCAGGAGTAGGAGGAAATCAGTTTTCCTGAATCTGTAAATAGAAACTTTGGCATTTCCATTTCTACCGTGTAGATAAGTGATGAACCATTTTACATGAAGGGAATCAATGAAGGATTTCTTTTTATCTTGGGAATCAGAGAGAGAGAGAGAGAGAGAGAGAGAGAGAGAGAGAGAGAGAGAGGAGGTTGTTGTACAAATGAAACTGTAAGTACTCTGTCATTTTATTTTATTGTTTCAATTCAAAACACAACCTAGGTAACTGTTTTAAAGCAGATAGATAATGCAACATTATATGCAACTTAGTATCTGATACTGTGTCTGGGCTGATTTATTTTATAGTAAAATAGAGTCATGAATTCTAAAGTTCATAAATATTTTAAGGACAAACAGATACCAGCATCAGAAGTTTGAGAACTAAAAACAAACCCCAGAAATATCAATGATAGGATATGAAATATTTATTTAAAAATTCAAAGCCATAATTTTACAAGCATGTTATCTTTGGTGTACTGACTTATTGCTTCTTCCAATTTGATGATGACTCTTTCAAATTCAGAAATTATGAACAACTACTGTAAGAAATGCTAGCCTGCTACCTTTGTGGACTTTAATTCACTAAAATATAGCTTTACTGACTTTACTAAATGAAGAATATGGTTTTGAAAAAGAACCAGGCTAATTTTTTTTATGAACCACAGAGGAATTTTCTCTATATAATATACACTGTTTCAGTATTTCAGTAGACTACTGTGGGTGGTAATTACTGTGAGTGGTAATACAAGCCATGGGAAGACTCAAACTTACCATACATTGAGGATAAGACAGAAGAAAGCTTTGCTTGTGAGTTAAAGTGACATTTTAAATGGATTTAGTTTTTCTAATATTGCTTTGTCTGGACTTTCTGAAGTGCAAGACTGACTTCAGTTAGTAAAAGTCAGTTTGGGGACAGTCACATGAATCCATGTTTTTTGAAGTGTGTCCGTCAGCTTACAGTGGATGAAAGGAATGACTCAGTCCTCACTCATTATATCTTAAGCTACAATAGATAGTATTGTTTGAAACTGTCAAGGAAAATAATTCAAATTATCAAGCACTGACGTATTAGATGTTCTAACAGACATATTTGTAATTTATCTATATAGGCAAAGGTGTTACTAAGTTACTTTAAACTTTGTGGATTTCATGCAAACCATCATTAAAAAAAACTCAGGCCGTTCTGAACTTTCAACTGCCTAACCTGTACAAACCTTCCTTTTAATACATTCAAATTTTAGCTATTTATTATTCCAAGGTATAGATTCATATCTTAACTGACAGTGTTTATGTAATTCTGCATTCTTCCAAATAAACTGTCGAGTGTTAACAATAAATGATAGTACAGAATGCTGAATTATCAGAGAAAATCTTTAAAAGGTATTGTAATTTTAAATTTTATTATTCTTTTATCATATTGAGCATAGCTGAAATTTCTTCACTGCCAATATCTACTGTGGTGTCATTCTCAGCCATAGCGGTCTGAGATTAGTCAGTATTAGTTTTGTAATAATACTTTTGAAGCTAGATTTCTTTAAAGCTGAAGTGCCAATTAAATATTCCTATATTGCTTGTAGAAAAAAAAAACCCTGAAATTTCTGAAAGAAAACTTCTCTGGTGCCTAAAAACTAACTTGGGGGAATTTTTAGCTTTTAAAAGTTGCATCTATCATTTTTCTATAATTATTTGTTAGAGTCATGGCTGACATTTTTAGAAATGACTTTGTATTTTTTTTGTTGATAAATCATCCATCCTGGAGTTTAGTGTTTGTTCAAATATGACAAACTGTGTAGAGTTTAGTAGTAGTCACAGTGTTAATACTTACTGTTTAGATATTTTAATGTGAATCTACTTTAATTTCCTTTGTGTTTTAATTTGCTCATAGGAACATTATCTGTAAGACATATTCAAGATGTTCTGGTCATTTAAAAGAACTCATGTTGTATCAACTTAAAATCTCTACTTAGGTTTTATGAAAATATTAAAGTTGTAAGTTAACATTCATTTTTTACTCACCTTCCCTGGAGTACAGAGTAATTGAATTTCTCACAAAATTCTTGCAGCAATTAAAGAAATACTTTGCAAAATAAATGATGATGTCTTTATTCCTCTTTTTAAAGACTTCAATAAACTAGTAAGTGAATTTAATAAATTAATTTAAAAAGATATGACTTTGTTTTCTGTGCTAAAATGCTAATATGTACAAAGTCTTATACTCCACGAAAAGGAAAGATCCTCTCAAACAGGAACATTTTAAGGGAATTTTCCTCCTTCCTGCAGTATATTCCAATGAGTGGAAATAAAAGGAATCAAAATACATAAAGGTTTTTTAAAAGGAAAACACAGTCAAAACCTCAGACAAATAAAAATTTAAATGTGTCAAAGACTTTATTTAATGAATGATGGAACCAGTAATAAGTCATAATTATTCAGAAGAGAATTTACAAAACCACATATGCCTTAGAATATAAAAATACTGACTGGACATACAAAATATTGTGTCTAACAATGGCAATCAAAGGCTCAGTGTGATGGCACATGCCTGTAATCCAAGCACTCAGGAGGCATAAGCAAGTGGACCTCTGTGAGTTCGAGGCCAGCCTGGTCTACAGAGAGTTCCAGGATAGCCAGGGTTGTTATACAGAGAAACTTCTGTCTTGAAAAACCAAAAAACCCCAACTAACCAACCAATCAAACAAAAGCAATCAAATATGACTACTACTGATAATAATTAAGCAAAATAGCAAATATAAATATAATTAGACTATACACTCAGAAGAGATAGGATGACATTAAAATAATATGCTAATATTTAACATAGAGTTAAAAATAGCAAAATTCTTACATAAGAGAAAGTGCTTACATTTAGGAAAAATGCAAAAACAAAAATATTCTCATAGTATTTTGAGCTATTTAGCCGTAAACGTTTAATATAATAGAGCCTAGTAGGCAGGTCAATATACTGCTCAATGCATTTTGAAACTACTACCTCTAAAGTTAAACATTTGTATAACAAAAACAACAATCAAACCAAACAAAACGCTTAGTGTGATACCTAATAACACATGCTAATACACACACAAATTGAAGTTAACATTGTTGTAGTTGAAATTGCATTATTACATAATAGAATAAATTTAAGTCTACTAAGTATTCTAAGTGTATACTTGTTGTTCCTAAAACACACTGGGAATATTATAGTATGAAACATTTTCTCCAGACATATTTTGCCATTTACATGGTATTTGACAGTCTAATGTCTTTGAAACTATTTTTAATTAAAAATTTAACTATCATACACAGTGGTGGGTTTAATTTTCAAATAAAAATTTGTTCTTATTGATTCTCCTCTCCCGTAGTCTTATGCATATTCCTGCCCATCCTACCCTCTGTTCCCTCCTGTCCACCCTCTGTGCCCTCCTGTTCACCTTCTGTGCCCTCCTATCCACCCGCTGTGCCCTCCTTTCCACTCTCTGTGCCCTACTGTCCACCCTCTGTGTCCTCCTGCCCACTCTCTATGCCCTCCTGTCCACTCTCTGTGCCCTCCTATCCACCCTCTATGTCCTCCTGCCCACTCTCTGTGCCCTCCTGTCCACTCTGTGCCCTCCTATCCACCTGCTGTGTCCTCCCGTTCACCCTCTGTGCTCTCTTGTCCACCCTCTGTGCCCTCCTGTCCACCCTCTGTGCCCTCCTGCTCACCTTCTGTGCCCTCCTGTCCACTCTCTGTGCCTTCCCATCCTCCACAGCCTCCTTTTCGCTTTCATGTGGCAAATGTGTTATTGTCCCCTTCCTGGACACTTCATTTTTTCCTCTCCATACCTTATTAGTTCCTTAAACTTTATCCACACTCACCCCTACTTATACACACAGATGTAGACACCATAAGCTAAGATTTGTGCATAAAGAATATGATTTTTGCTCTCTGAGTTTTGGTTACCTACTCAATGTACTACTCAGATCTATCAGCCTCCATTCAGTTATTTCCAGGTCCGTCAATCTCACTTCATTATTTCATGTTTCCTTATAGCAGAATAAAATTCAGTTGTGCCTATACACTTCACTTTCTTTTTCCACTTACCTATCAGAGGGCAACTAGGCTGGTTCTATTTCCTTGCTATTATAAATAATGTCATCAGAAACATAGACACATGAGTGCTTCTGATAAGGTATAGAGCTGTCTGGCTGTTTATCAAGAGTGGTATAGCTGGATCACATGGATATTCTATATTTAATATTTCAAGAATATTCCATACTGATTTTCACAGTTCTGTGCCACGGCAGTGCACTCCCACTGCAGCGAATGGTGAATAGGGGCTCCTTGTGAGCACGAGCGTCTTTGCACAATGTTGCTTTGTTTTGAATTTATGAAAACTACAGCTCAAACTCCAGGAGTAAACGTACAACATGGTTTATAGAAGCAGATGCAGTTATTTAAAAACTTGTTGAATTAAATCCGGTTTCATCTCTCTTAATTACAAAATGAAATGGCTTGTGTTCCAACTGGAGACCATTTCAAAATCCCTCAGTTGACCCAGAAACAACCCCTCCCTTGGACCAAAATTAACGTGCTAGTGTCCAAAAGTCTTGTAAACATTTACCTCAGATTACGGCTTGGAGGAGCAGAGGATGAAAACAGAACCAATAGCGAGGCATAGTCACTTTTGTCTCATTCTGTCCCACGTGGCACGTGCGCACCACTTGTTCACGTGTGGCCCTGAGCCTCCGTCTGCTGAGCTCCAAGAGCTGCATGCTTCTGGTTGTACGTCCAGGCTACAGAAGGAAAATACACCCAGCGAACAAAGGATTCATGGGAGCTCAAGGACCCAGAGAGTCCCCTTTCCTTTTCTTTGCTTCCCTTCACTTTTTTTCCCGTTATGCATTTTGCTGTTATCATTACTACTGTTGCTGTTCTTATTTTATTTTTAATTATAAAATACAATGCTTCATGATCCATGTCTATATGCCCAGAGCAGTTTTGTAGATTGCAGTTTGTGTTCTATAATTAATACATATTCCACAAATTCATAACCATAATATTCTAGTTTGTTTAAGAATTTAGATGTGCTTTTTTTTCAGCACCAGCATCAATTCTGGGTCAGCATTTGGAGTTCTAGCATTAGATCCCTGGGAAGAGAAAATGGTGACAGTGTCTGCCTTTTGTTTCTGCATTACAGTTCTCAACTCTGGCATTGCTTTGACTTGGTGTTTCTTCCTGTGATGAAAAGTGATCAGAATCAAGGAAACATGTCTCCTTAAAGCTTAAACGTGAACTGCAAGCATATCCTAGACCACTGGTATTCCAAATACTCCAACCCAGTGGTCTTTGTTCACAGAGGTTTTATGTCTTCTATGACCACCCTTAGTTTTCAGAAATAACCTGAGAATGAACAAAGAATCTTTCCAAAGGCCAGAGGGTAGCTTATCCCAAACTAGCATATTTATGTACAAGCCTTCAAGATTTTTTTCTCTTAAATTCTAAATTTAAAACTAATTTTCTAGGATGTTAGAATTATTTGAAGATGGGAAAATAGGAACTTATTGAATTGCCTTGTAGATTTATTTATATATTTTACATCTCTTAAATAACTAGGCTTATAGTTTCAACTAACCTGGATGCCCCCCCCCAACCCCCGGCCCCAGATCTCTCAGACACTGAGCCACCAACCAGGCAGCATATACCAGTTGATATGAAGCCTCTGATACATATACAGCAGGGGACTGCCTGGTCTGTCCTCAGTGGGAGAAGACACACCTAACCCTCCAGAGATTTGAGGGCCCAGGGAGTAGGGAGGTCTAGTGGGGTGGGTGTGGAGGTTGGGTTTGGGGACATCCTCTTGGAGACTGGAGTGGAGGTGCTGGGGGCTGGGGAGGGGAGGGGAAGGAGGAATGGGATGAGGAACAGTCAGAGAGTAGACTGGGAGGGGGATAGTAACTGGGCTGTAAAAAAATTAAAGAGTAATAATAATAATAAATAACTAGGCTTATATTCTTGTCTGAGATATCAATACTAAGAAGGAGCCTGAGTACATGTTAGATAACAGGACCTTGGTTTTTGTAAAGCATAAGTACTGCCATACTTACTAATGCTAATCCTTTCCTGTCCCAAGTTGGAAAGAATATTAAATCGTTAAATATTATTTTATTTAAGCCATAGTTTTTCATGACTAATGTATATCATATATCAAACTTCACACATGTTGTTTTCAACAGGTCAAATGTCATACTTATTAGTGATAATATCAAAGTTGTTACTACTTTACTATTATTTTTCATTCTACTATTCAAATATTATACCTATGAATCTTTTGAAACCAGTTGAAGTCTTCAAAGTATCTAATTGTTTATGACTTGTTAAATAAAGTTACAAGATTCCCTGCAGAAATCATGAGCCCTTTTCACAGTTGTACCCTAAAGCCTAGCTACATTGCTTACTCAAAGATCATTTCAGACTCTTTTTTCCACATTAAGACAATAAATATATGTTTTATTCTTAAGCTTTAACTTAAATATCAAAGTTTATGTCTTTTTTTTAAACCCACCCAGAAGATTTGCCTTACCCAAAGTGCAAGAATCCTGCACTCTCCTGTTTCAGACCTTCCCCTCTCTGCCTTCGTCCTACTGTCCAGAGGTGGGTTATCACATACGACTTACAAAAGTGAATATAAATTAAACTCCTCTTCCTCATTCTATAAAAATGTAGTTGGGTTTGTTACACAGCAGAGAGATCATGTTGACTTCCATCTTCTGGAACTGTCCATCTGTTCATCTGTCTGCCTCCTACAGCAGAACCAGATGGAAAGCTCTCAGCATCCTATGTAACATAAACAGATGAGTTGATTCCTGCTAGAATTGATTTTGAAAACACTTAAAAGGTGCCATGGGGTCTCTCCATAGCACAGTGTGGTTTCTTTTTTTTTAATTTTTTAAAAAAATTTTTTATTGGACATTTTATCAACATTTCAAATGTAATCCCCTTTCCCCATCACCCCCTCAGGAACACCCTATCCCGTTCCCCTCTTCCTACTTCTATAAGGATATGCCCCCACCCACCTTCCCACTTCCACCTCCCCACCCACTATTTTGTCCAGCCTTCACTGGACCAAAAACTTCCTCATCCACCTATGCCTGACAATGTCATCCTTCCCTAAGTATACAGCTGGGGCCAT